CTTGGGGTCGACGCTGAGGAACAGGCTCTTTGAGGCCCAGGGACAGCGGGTCCTTCCTTGGGGTTGACGCTGAGGAACAGGCTCTATGAGGGCCATGGACAGCAGGCTGGTTCCTTGGGGTCGATGCTGAGGAACAGGCTCCGAGGGCCAGCGACGGGTCACTCTTTGACGTAATATAGCCCATAGCTTTCTGATGATTGCTCTGCATGGATAACGTAACGAACAAGGGATCATGAGGCTGTTTTCCAGGACCCAACGGTGCAAACTCTCATGGCTTTCGCAGGTATAAAGATGATTATGCCCCCCAACATGCTGCTAAACAACTTCAGAAGTGCTTCCATTCACACCTGCCTGAAGACACATACCTTCTGACATAAACACGAGCGTCTTGGAGGTTCTGCACATGCTGGTTGTGGTCCGACAGATTAATGGGCAGATTAATGGATCTATCTTTTTTTCCCTTTGCTCAGGCATCAGAAGAGACTGGCGACTCATGGAGGAAGCAGGCGTCAGGAACCCAGGGGTCCTCCGGGTGGATGCAGGCGGGCAGGGAGCGGGGGGCGGCGTCTGCACGGGGGCAGGGGGGGCGACCCTGGAGCCACCGGCAGACTGATAACTAGCTTGGCCACACACCCCCATCCCCGGTGCAGGTGAGACATCGTCGGGAGGTGAAAATGTAGCGCTTACAGAAATAGATAGTGAGGCATGTCTGCTGTGTTGTGTGGACCGTGCTGCCTCCTTAACGTACAGTGCTGGGAATCCCTGGCCGCTCCCCCGGACCTAATTACAGAGCCACGCGCCTGTTACTTAACGGCGTGTTAATTAGCCAAACCTTCAGGGACGCACCTCTGGGATGTTGCTGTGTCATGTGACCACACTGGAAATTTCCACCACAATTGTGTGTTCTTCTCCTCCAGACCCCCGTCCCTGTCCCTGGGAACCCTCTTTTGTTTTGGATCATCTGTGAAGCAACAACATCTCAAAGTATCCGCACGCGATTCTGCTGCCCGAACGACCAAATGCTGCCCAAGACCTGACCTCCTAGTGACCTGCATCCAGCCAACTGACAAAGGAAGGGCCCGTTTTGGGGGAGGTGGGGGCTTCGAAAAGGGCAGGGGTGGGCATGGCCAATGGCACATAAACGGACGCCGTGCACCGTGCCCATCCTGGCGTGGACCCGGAGGAGACCCGTCCAGGCCAGTAGCAGAGAGCGAGTGGCTGAACATGTTTTATTTCGTCTCACTTGGGACTTCGCTTGTCGGACCTTTTAATGCGTTTCTTTTATTTGACATTCTCTCTCCGCTGAACATGATGCTGAACATGATGCTGAACATTGCTGCCATCTCTATTACACTGTATGTGAAACTGGGCTGGGGGGACACTCCCCCTCCCCACGAATGTACAGAGACTGTATCGGCATGTAGCGGATGTGGGGTTTGCCCATGGAGAGAGCTCTGCACACCAATCTTATCATATTAAAACTTAACAGGCAGGAAAGTCATTTTTGTTCATATATATAAAGGCAGGTTCATCTACACCTTTAAATACCAGCATTAAAACCGACTCCCCTAAAAACCAGGTATTCTGGTTTCGATAAATGGTTTAATCGGCACGCGGAAACGATAGGCCTCCGTTGTTCTGTTTGTGTGTAATATTCTGGGTTAAGAGGTCAAAGGTCAGAAGCTGGGGTCACCGGCAGTCCCTGCCACCTTGTTAGTTCATGCCGAGGTCAGGTGTGAAAATCCTGGCTGCGAGTGACAGGAATCCCCATCTGCAGTTGGTGGTGGGAGGGAGTCTCCCTGCACACGTTCACTATGGGATGCTGTGGGACGGCCTTATTTATTTTTCCCTGACACCCCCTCAGGTCTGAATGCCCCACCCCCCATTTTGGCCCACTGACCGTCCTAGAGAGGCATCACCATGGCGATGGGTCTCTGGGTCAGCATGGTGACTGCGGTTATGAGCCCTATGCCTGAGGGAGTCACTGACGGAGTCACTGAGGGAGTCACTGTGACTGTACTGCTGCTTTCTGTCCTGTATATCATGTTTATTTTCTGACTTAGGCGTTTAGGCAGGAAGTGATCTGCCACAGGTGTCGGGTGATTGAGCGGCGATGAGCCCCTCGTTAGGCCCCGGGTCTGTCCATGTCCCCCCCATCTGCATGCCCTTCAGCAGCAGCCCTGTAGCCCCCCCCGCACTACTCTGTAAATTCTGGTTAGAATTGCATCTGCTCTGTGTACAAAGTGTAAAAAACAGTCTTGTCTCCCTGTTTGTAGTGCCCTGTTATTGGCCCAAACCAGCCAAACAGTCTAATGTCTCTACCACCCCAATCCCCCCCCCCCCCCTCGACTGGGGTTGTAAATGGATTAATGAGTCAGATTTGAAGTAGCCTGTTTTGCATAATGAGCCCCTCCCTGATCAGAGTGCCACCCCAGCCCACACTGGGCATTCCAGCAGGAACCCCCCCCCCTTGATTTCCTTCATGAGTGCCCTCATTCCGGCCCTGTTTCTATGGGCGGCACAGGCACCTGGTCCAGCTCCGACCCCCCCAAGACTGACTAAGGGGCACTCACCCCCCCCAAGCTCTGTCTGCGTCTTCCCAGCTGTCCCTGTCACAGTCTGTCTCGTTACAGTAGGTAATCAGGGAGGTGCCGTGTTTGGGGGGTTGGGTGTGGTGATGAAGCTGTACAGAAATCCCCCCTGAGTATGTGGGGGGGGAGGGTTGTTGGGCACTCTGTTGCATCCTCACTACATGTATGAGAACCCAGTGAAACGACTGCACTGGCAAAAGTGTGTGTGTGTGAGAGAGTGAGTGAGAGAGTGAGGTAAATGCGCCTGTGTGTGTGTGTGTGTGTGTGTGTGAGTGAGAGTGAGAGAGTGAGGTAAATGCGCCTGTGTGTGTGTGTGTGTGAGAGAGAGAGTGAGGTAAATGCGCCTGTGTGTGTGTGTGTGTGTGTGTGTGTGTGTGTGTGTGTGTGTGTGTGTGTGTGTGAGTGAGTGAGAGAGTGAGGTAAATGCGCTTGGGCGTGTGGCAGTCGTGACCCAGCACCACCTCTGTGGCCCATTCCATGTAAAAGACCTTTGCACCATGTGCCAAATCCATTCCATAGTATTAGAGTTTACAGTGAAATGTTTACGCGGGCAGATGGTCAGTCTTATAGACCAGGGAGATGAGATAATGGGTGACCTTTACTTTTTTTTGTATGTTTTTAAATCTAAAGAATCTTATTTTGGAAGCTGTTGCATACATTTTATTTAAGCTCTTGTTAATTTTGTAAAGTGGGCCTTGGTTAAATACGCTGTATGTATCTCTCACTTCTGTTCACTCCTGGGGAGTGACTTTGTTGCTGCGTCTCCCCTGCACACTCTCTCCATCATAATGTAGGACATGCTAAAGTAATGTTGTATTGTTTATTCAAAACAGGATGTAATGCACATGATCAGCAACAATGGGGCTGCAGTGAGGCATGATGGGAGTCTGCCTTCCATGTTTCTGTCCCCCAAACATTCAGGGTTGTTTCATTTGTAACATGTTTGTATATAGAGAGCTGCCAAAGACAGAGGTTTTTAAAGGCCCCTCCCCGACAGACAGACGGACCGCCGTTAGAAGCAACGGGACAGCTGGCCCTTTTGGCCGTGCGGCCATTGAGGACGAGGAGGGTCACGTGACTCTCCGCTTCCCATCTTCTGTGGCTGTTTGTGCATGTTTAACCTCTCCCAGGCCTGCATGTAGGACCCAGAGGCTGCCTGCCACCTGTACAGCAGAGTATGTATTCAAATAAAAGCCTACATTAAGAAGCTGCCCCGTAGTCTGTCGTTCCTGGCTGAACCCTGACAGGAGCCCTGCAAGCCTGGCTTCAGGGTGATGCCGGAGAGGTCCCAGTGCCTTTCCTATGCCGGTTTGGGCTGTCTGCTGTCCCCGACTTACCCAGAATGCATTATGGCTTTGGGCCATGCCTCCTCATGCCCTTGTTGGAAGTAGGGTTGGGTCTCCCTGATTTGCATATTACGTCTACAGTGAAACACATGATGGGTCACCTTATAAAGGTACTATAAATTTTTATGGTTTTTTTTTATATATATATTTTTTTAACGACTTCATAGATTCATGAAGTACTTTACATTTTTTTGCACATTTGAGCCCATTCACAGCTCATCCTGCCCTAGTTACACGCTCTTTCCTTTTCCACCATATCGCCTGTCGTCAGTCTAAAATCGATACTTCAATACTTATGCTCGTTATTCTGAATGCATAAGGTACTGCACTTACGCACTCAAATAGCAAGTTTAAGTACTGAAGTATGTTACAGATCATGATGATGTGCTGATGGTGCAGACGACCTACAGCGTACTGCTGGTTTGCTTTTCCTAAATAAAGGTGATTGGGAATAACTACTTATGTTGATTTGTAATATTTTGTCTTTTATGGCTTCTATTAATCAAAAGTAATTTGAAGTCTGGCCAGGTTGGGTAACTAGGGTTGCTGATATTCCATGTGGAAAATCACGATCACAACAGCCGGGATTTGACAGTACAACTTATCTTTATAATTTATAATTAATTGACTATGTTTACATAAGAACATAAGAAATTTACAAACGAGAGGGGGCCATTCGGCCCATCAAGCTCGTTTGG